CTCCCAAAGGGCTTCCTCCGATATCGGGTGGAAAGCCCTTTGAGAACTCCAAAGGCAAAAAGGCAGGGAGAAAGGGCTGGAAATTCGAATTTCCCGCTCTTTCTCCCTGCCTTTTTGCAGGGATCCATTTATGAACAGCTCCGTTGGCAAAAAATGGCATTGACTTGCGAACGGAGCCTCGACCTTGTTTTTAGGTCGAGCTCTGTTCGCAAGTCGATGCCAATTTTTGCCAACGCAGCTGTTCGTAAATTGAAAAGTCCATATGTAGGGCCGTTCGTAAGTTGAGGGTTGTCTGCAGAAAACATCCATTTTATTGTTTCTCACCCAGTAAGAGGGATCATACTAATACTATACAAAACTCAACCGCTCAAAAATACCACCAAAATACTATATGAAAAAAAAATTAAGCATATTTCAAGATTAAAACCAAGATTAGAAACAATATGAAAAACATTTTTAAAAATATTTTAAAAACAGAAACGACCCTGTTTCCTGTTTAATCTTGTCACACTGGCCCCTGCTGGAGTACTATGGTTATTTTGGTTGCTCCTGAGACACGTCCTTTGCAACAATGAAGGCCCAGCCATCCCATCAATTCAGACAAAATGAGAACTGCATGGGTATTTCTTCCCGATGGTGCATCTATAAGCCTCTCCCCCCTCCCCCGCTGCTGCTATTCGCCTTTGCCACCTGCATTTCCTCGTTTCCTCTTGTTGAACCACATTGAATGTTTGTTGTTGCCACGGACTGTCAAGTCACTTCTGACACATGGTGGTTTTACTACGGCCACACAGTGAGTTTCCATTAGCTGAGTGGGGTTTCAAACCCAGATCTCCTGCGTCCTGGTCTGACACTCTGTCCACTACCCCCCACCTCAGACCTCAATAAACCTGAGTAGCCTCTAGAGGTACCAACTGTCCAGTGACATCTTGACACAAAACACTGCCTACTAACATAGTAGCTGCTTTGTGCAGGTAGTACTTCTACACAGGGAGATTATTCAGGTGGAGGAAGGAAGCCGGGTGGGGTGAGTAATGATGGCAACAGCAAGCATGGCAGAAGGAGGGGGCAGAAAGAGCAAAGTGGCAGTAGCTGCCATACGGTAAGGCCCATGAGTCAGGGAGGGAGGTGAAGTGACCACAGCAACAAGGGAAAACTGTGCAGTGTTCCTGTCTTAAACCCTGCTCCCTGGAGTGGTTTTTTTTAACTCAACCTCCTGCTAGTCTTATTTGGGGAACTGCTGTCTTGGGTGTCCTTTCAGGGTGAGAAGAAACATCTATTTTCCTGGCATTGTATTTTCCTTACCAATAAGATCGTTCCTTCCAAGCATTACCAGTGTGTAAATGAAGCTCCTGTTTGACTTCCCACCAGAAATCACAAGCTGAAAGGAAGATAACCTGCAAGAGGCAAACTAAGACAAGCATGTAGTAGAATAAACAGACCCTTTTAAACTCTCAAGGGAGCCTTCCTTCTAGAAACATAATTACTGCTTTATCCAAATCATACACAAGCAACTTGACAGCTTAAGAATCCAAAATTCCTCTAAGTCAAATGAAGCCTGTTCTTGAGGATGAACGTCCCTTTTTAAAAGACCAAGGAGCTTGACACTTTCAATTAAACAGGTTGGGCGGGGGTAGAGACTATTACTACATGCGGTTTGGAAATAAACCATTTGAAATAATAATTTACTATTATTATTGTATTATTGGGAACATTTTACTTTTATGATTCTGTCTCTTTAGGCTTGCAAAAGCTGCTACTTGAAAGCAACCAGCTATTTCAAATCCCAGAGAACTTGGACAGTCTAGAGAAACTACAAGTCCTTACACTTTGTGGAAACCCATTGATGGACCCACCAGTGGAAGTATTTTGTCAGGGGCTACCAGCCATATGGCAGTACTTAAAGGATGCAAGAATCCGCAAGGCCTGGGCAGTAAAGGTACATGTCAACAACAGAGCCACACAAGCAGCATGGAATGCAGTTATGCTGATGTGGGTGGTTCATAGCCTTTTGAACCATGGGAGCAAACTAGCAGCCATGTCACTGGGAAACGTTTTGCTAGATATATTATACCTACGTAGATACACCGGCATGGCATTGTCTAACTGAGAAATGGGGAAGGTGGAGCATAACAGAGCAAAGTACAAGGGTGATCCAACTGGCCAAAAATAATAGGGACAGACCTTGGAAAAAATAATATATCAGAATACTGGAAAGCTCCGTGGTTTCAAAATTATAAAAACATTGACTTGTATTATATAACAGATACAAGTATTTTTAAAAAACTGTTTGGTAAATATTGGCACAGTATTTATGTTGTTCCTAATATTGCTGGTTTTGTAGCTCTGTTGTTGCTGCTGCTGTTGTTATTGTTCTTATATTTTTGGACTACAACTTCTAGGGTGCATGTTGTCTGGAGATTTCTAGGATATCTTGTTAAAAAAAAGTAGCTGTTCTATGCTCTGAGTAAAGGAGCAGGCATGATGAGGTAGTCCTGTCTTGTCCTGCCATTACTAATGGGGATAGTGGGGAGAAAGCCAGCTAATATTAACAGTTCTCCTGCAGCCCTCAGAGAAGTCCAGCTGATCAGGTCTTGCACAAGAGAGAAGACTTTTATTACTGTGGAGGGGGCGTCAGATCCCCCCCACCTGGCCCCCCTACCTTTCCCTGAAAAAACAAGGTCACCTTGACTGTCTTTCTCCCTCTCTTCTCGATTAATTCTCATGTTCTTCCCACCTCCCTGCTCTCAGGTCCAGGCTCGATGGCGTGGCATAATGGTGCGCAAAGGGATCGGGCCCTATGCAGAGCTCCAGAGAATGATCAAGAGAGTCAAGAAAGAGAAAAAAGAGAAGAAGGGCAAGGAGAAAGGAAAAGGAAAGGGAAAAGATAAGGGCAAAGATAAAGGCAAAGGCAAAAAGAAATAATGCCATTATTGTGACAGAAACATAGTGAGCATTGGAAAAAAGGGTATGAAGGGAGAAAAACAGGGGAATAAATATGGATGAAACAGGATGGAAGAGTGTACAGCAAGTCGTTCGTATAGATTTTTAGAGAGTATCTTTCTAGCACTCACTAACTTCAGCTGGTGAGCCAAAGGAGGAGCAGAGTGGAATAGCTATGTGCCAGTGGGAAGGGTTTCAATGTCTACTTCGCCCCCCCCAAAAAAATCTGGGACACGTCTGTTGTTGCCACCCACCCACCACATGCTGTGCCTTACTGTACTCTGTCAGGTCAACAATGTTGTCTTGGTGTCAAGAGGCCTCAAAAAGGTCAAAGCACTGGGATATTTTTTAATATGACAGATGACACAATCATTTGCCACTCCTCCCTCAGGTTTCACTGTTCCCTCTGAGTTTAGCCAAAGAGCGTTTCATAGCAATTTGGTCTAGAATGGCAAGTAAGACTCATTAGCTTTTCAAAAGACCTGCTCCTGTTAGAGATTGCAAATGATAGAGGTTGTTTGTTAATACAGGTCAATGTAGTTGCCTGCACTGTGGGGATCTCTTAAGAGGTGTAACGATAGCGACTCTCCTACTGAATACCCACATCTCAAAGTTTACCGCTGTAGCCCTGCAGGTGAGGCTGGCAAAAAGATGCATTGAGGTCAACCATTTGTTGATTCCGACACTGACTCGCGGTCAGACGTTCAGGCTTTACATTCATCCTAAATGTCAAAGAGAATATTGCACTCATTGTCTTGATGGCAATGTTCCAGTTCCTTTTGTTGAACTTCTGAAAGCACCCAGCCTTGCAGGCCTAGCTCTGTGAACACAGGCAGCTTCGGCAAGGTAGCCAACAGCTGGCTGAGCCAGTCCCCGCAGTGACAGCTTGATGATGGCCGAAGGCTGACATCTAGTTCCGAAAGCTGTTCCAGGGCAGCTAAGACTTGGCACAGTTTTGTCCATCCTCGGTCAGAGAGATCGTGGTTATAGCTAAGGTCCAGGGTCTGTAGCAGTGCCAGATGCCCAGTCTGGATACCCACGGCTGCAAGAAACAACCAGCGGGGCCATCAAATATGCCAGGTTAGTAAGGTAATAGCATGCCAACATTTCATTTTTCAAGAAAAACCAGGGAGGGTCTCAAAAACTAGGTCTGAAAACAGGGGGAATGGGGGAATGTATTTTAATTCTTATTTTTACCAACCTAAGCTAGACAGATCCTCATCAACCAAGCCGCAGCTGCTGAGTCTTAACACCCGGATCTCTCCTCCAAGGTTTAGTGCTTTCAAAATCAGCTTTAGGTTCCCGCCAACGCATTTATTCCAAGAAAGATCTAATGTCTTCAGTTCAGGAAGGTGAAGGGCAGCCTCAGCTGAAAAGATTAGCAACAGCATCTTGGGCTTACTGAAAGAAATACTGTAGGCCTGGTCTGTACAGTTTAGCTGAAACCGTCCATCTTAACACAGGAATTATCAAAGAAGCATACATAAAAGGGGCCGTGCAATCAGCCCAGTATTTCTTCATTTGCAGCCCCCTATTTATGATTGATTGGTATGTTTCTAAAGTTTATCCGCATGACCTTAGAACAGCTTTGTAGATATTGGTCATCTAGCACTCTTCAGAATGACTTTAATCAGGTAGTAAGGTCTTTTCCCTCCTTTTTATGTTAAATGTGTTCATCATGATGCAATTCAAACCCATTCTGGCTAATGATAGATTTGCCACTGAAGAGAGCTTGTATGTACAGCCCACTCTATTTCCCTACAGAGATTCCAATAAGATTGATTGGTGCTGAAATGCAGCACCCTTTTCTCTGCTAGAGACGGAAAGACGATAGTTAGGTATGAAATGTAGCATCAGGCAGTCCCATGTTGGTAGTTTGAAATGTATTCCCCTATTATTTTGTAACAAAAGGGTCTATTCTAAATCCCATTCACATTTTCTGGGAAGCAGAGAGAAATCTTGAGATCCACCTACAGAAAACGGGATCTGACTTTTCTTCAAGTGAGATGGTCACGGCAGCCTCCCTCACGTCATAACTGGAACTGCCTTACAATATTATCGGTGGGCTTTCTCTAGTAAGAGCCTTAAGCTTATGTTGAAACCTACCCCACCAGAATGTACAACATACGTACAGTATAAAAAAGATCAACTTCTACTGGGTCATATATGTCCAGAACCCCCTTTCCCCTCTCACAGGGCTGTCCCACCACTTCCATGGTGGCCCCTGCTCTCAGTTACAGTCATGTGAACAAAATCAAACAGATTTTTCTTCAACATAAGATTTTAAAATAATATATCCAGGTAGAATGCCTGTGTGCAGTAGGTGGCAAGGGAGACCAGAGGTCATTTATTTATTTTTATTTTTTTTATTTGATTTATATCCCGCCTATCTGGTATATTCTACCATTCATTCCCTTCTGTGTTACCAAAAATATAAAAGAAAGGGGAGAAGGGGGCCCATGTCTGTGTGTGTGTGTGTGTGTGTGTGTGTGTGTGTGTGTGTGTGTGTGTGTGCAATTTCCCAACATATATATTCAACACAATTGTTGTCAAGAGCACTTTTTTCTGTTTCTAATCTTTTATTGAATGTGCACACACACACACACACAGAGAGAGAGTCTTATGAATCTAGCATGACACTAGCAGGAGGATTTCATTTTGCTCCTACTCTGACCCCTACAGTAATGCCAGCAAAAGCCTGCTCCAGAGGATTTCCCATCTCTCCAGAATAAGTTTTACAGTCCATGGGTGACTGCAGAAATTTTGTTGGTGGAAATAATTTCTTCAAATAGCAGCACCCTCTCCAATCCTGCCCAGTATATAAATACACTAACATATATAGGGCAGAATCCTGTCAATGATTATTGCATGGGTAAATGAAATTCTGTAACTCACTGTGGTGAGCTGCTGCTAATTAATGAGGTGCCAGTCACTTTACTTGGTGCACACCTGTTGCACTATCTAACACATGTCTCCTAACATAACTGGCATGTAATTAGCAGCAATTCATTGCAGTGGGTTACACAATTTAGCTTATACATTCATAAATCACCAATAGGATCCTGGCCAGTTTCTTAATATTTGCTAAATCATAACATTTTGAAGTAATCACAGAGATAGGAAACTATGACTAATTGAAAGAGAGCAATAATAAAAACAAACACCGTGGAACATAAAGTAACTTGATGTTGCACAAGAGGACTATCATATGAATACTTATGACTGCCTAGTGCCTACATTAACAAACATTCATGTATGACGTGGATGTACTGTTTCAAAATTCAATAAAAAGATTGCATTTGTTTATGAAATTACCATCTTCCTATTGTTCGTTTATCGACCTACATTGCTTACTTTTTACAGTCCTGTTAGTGGCCAAAAATTAGTGGTCCGCTTTTAACTGAAATTAACCTTGTTTTCTTCCAGATTTGGTGCAATAGTTAGCAGCTGAAGTACCGCTAAATTTGACTGATATGTTTTTGGTTACCTGTGAGTGGAAATCATCTTTGTAACATTGTTTTGGGCTTAAAGGGTGTACTTTCAAGTGATCACCACAGGGTGGCAGCTTTGCATACACTGGCACACACCGACACAGATGTGTGAAGGAAGTTACAGTATATGCCCGTGGATTAATCATATCACAGATAAAATTTATGCATATGCAGAAATGGCCACTGATTCTAGTTAAGTGTGGCTATAGATCTCGAAATAAGAGTGCAAACTGTGTTTACTGTAAAATGTTTTATGCTAGGGAAGACAGTATAGAAACAAGACCGGGATAAACTTGGACATGTATGAACATATGTACAGACACACAGAGAGACATGGCCACTTGCTATGCTGCGTAAGGCTGATGATGTCATCGGCAGTAGAGATTTTTTTGGAAATAAAAAAATTCCGATCCCCACTGGGAAGCTTATGTAGACTCTCTCACACAGTGGGGAACTCCTTGCCCATCCAACAACAAGGAGTTTTAATTTCCCAGGATTACTTTACCAGCGGCAGTGATTTTCAACAATAAAAGATCCCCCCCCCACTCCTGTTCAGCAGCCCCTAACCTCTTTCCCAAGGAAAATGGATTCCATGGGAACCTTGGGACCGGTAGAGTAAAACTGGACATTTTTTATTTCCAAAAAATGGCCGCAGCTGATCAGCCTTAATCAGCATATCGTATGGAACATGATTTCAGTCAATGTTTCATAGGGATAAAAGAGATTTTGTAAAAACAAAAAAACCCACTACAACACCCAATTAAGTAACGTGTTCATACAAGTTGGCAGTTTCTCTGGAATCTAGTAAGTTGTCAAAGGAATGGAGGGTACCAAGTGAAAGAGGTGTAGATGGTCTGTCTTATGGAAGACAGAGGCATGAATGACCAAACCCAGAAGAATAAACGCATGTTCTTACCAAAAGATGCAAATGAATCATGTTGTAATGAACAATTGCTGAGGAGCACAGATTTCAGGTTTGGTAGAAACCGGAGGCGGCTGAGCAGCTGATCAGAAGAGACCCCAACATTTTTGTTTGATGACAAATCCAGCTCTTGAAGCCTTGACAAAAGTGGTATTATCTGACCTGAAAAATATGAGCCGGGAAAGGACACAGGCACTGTAACTCTTACTGTAAGAACAATAATCATGTGTCAAAACCTTTTCAAGGTTTTCCAAGTAGAGAGTGCTCAGAAGCATCTTACCATTCCCCTGTTTTAGGGGCACCCTGGGACTATGCAGCCTGCCCAAAGCCTCAGAGGCTAGCTCTTCTCTCAGGAGGCCCAGTGGCAAATCGAATTCCCAACCTCTGACTCCACAGCTGGATAGTTAAACCACTGAGCTATCCGGACAGCTATTCCCCTAACACAAAAAGGAGCCAAATACTTCTGCCTATGTTACTTCCATCTAATCCTGCCTATTGCCCCTTTTCCTGGATACACATAAACAAAATTAAAAATATTTGATAATTGAACAATGGAAGCAAAATTGAACTTTGTTTTTAAAAATTATTATGTCATCTGAGCATAGAATTCTTAATTCTTAATTCATTTTGTGTCAGTTCTTAGCAGATCGTCCATTTAATTATCAACCCAGTGTCCATGTGTTTATAGGACAAAACATAATTTTTAAGGCAAAATTAAACACTGGGTTTAGAAATGCTACATGGTGCTGCTGAGAATTAAACCACAGAAGCCTCTGGGTTGCAAAGTCAAAAGACCAGCAGTTCGAATCCACGCGATGGAGTGAGCTCCCGTCGTTTGTCCCAGCTCCTGCCAACCTAGCAGTTCGAAAGCACGTAAAAAATGCGAGTAGATAAATAGGAACCACCTCGGTGGGAAGGAAATGGTGTTCCATATCTAGTTGCGCTGGCCACGTGACCACGGAAGATTGTCTATGAATGAAACACTGGCTCTAGGGTTTGGAAACGGGGATGAGCACTGCCCCCTAGAGTCGGACACAACTGGACTAATTGTCAAGGGGAACCTTTACCTTAACCTTAAATATGCTAAATTGCAGCACTGTTAATGATTCCAATGATAGCTGGGAAAGAGTGAGGGCAAGAGGAGAAGGGAACAACAGAGGACGAGATGGCTGGACAGTGTCATCGAAGCTACCAGCATGAATTTGACCCAACTCCAGGAGGCAGTGGAAGACAGGAGGGTCTGGCGTGCTCTGATCCATGGGGTCACGAAGAGTCGGACACGACTTAACGACTAAACAACAATGATAGTGCAGGTGTTCCTGATGTTGCTGACACCTAGAGGAGAAGGGAACAACAGAGGACGAGATGGCTGGACAGTGTCATCGAAGCTACCAGCATGAATTTGACCCAACTCCAGGAGGCAGTGGAAGACAGGAGGGTCTGGCGTGCTCTGATCCATGGGGTCACGAAGAGTCGGACACGACTTAACGACTAAACAACAATGATATTGGAGATGTTCCTGATGTTGCTGACACCTCCCTTTTTTATTTTTATTTTTATTTGCACAGATGCTGAATCTATTCCAGTTATTTTATTTTATTTTATTTTTGCACAGATGCTGAATCTATTCCAAGGTTATGGTTATATCTCCTGTAAAGGTCAGACTATCATAAGGAGTAAATTTATTGTTCCTGAAAAATTAGTATCACTAACAACCACTTCACCAATAGTACCTCCTGACAGCAGATTTTATGAGTATTTATATAATTTGTTATACTGCTGAATTCATACCAATGGTGCCAACAGCCTAAGTACTCAGACTAATAAATTAAACATTGCATTTCTATGTAAATATAAAACAAGTGTTTACATAAAGTATTTTCTTAATATGTGTTTTGCCAATTCTGGTTAATGAGGTCTAGCAACAAGTTCAATGTTAGAACTAGATTAAACTTTCTTCCTACCTTGTCAGGTTTTCTAAAGGACCAATAATTATTAATTTTAATGAAGTGGGCCACATATTAATGTTGCCTCTAGGATATCAGGTTCTAATTACTATGTAGTGTGGAAAAAGCAAGAGGTTGAAGATGACATCTGAAACTATGAAGAACTGCCACCAGGTGAAACTGACATAATTGGAAAGGCACAAAACCCCAGACAGCGTTTGGGCCAGATTATCCTCAAAGGGGTGCTCATCTGTGTGGCCTTATTTAGGAACAGATTGAATTGAAGGCCAGAGCACAGCACTACCCAACATCTGGAGGCCCAGATGTTGAGAACCACTTGTCTTGATTGCATAAATACATTTCTGAGCAAACAGAGGGGTAGATGTTGCTGTCTTAGTTTGTGTGAAGGCTTAGTCTAGGTAACAGGGCCAGCTCAAGGCATTTTATTGCCTATGGCTAAGAACGACCTGTACTTCCTCCCCATTCCATTTACGAAAGATTACAGGATTAGCAGTGCAATCTTACTCCCACATTGGTGATAGAACAGACATGTGAAGTATGAGACAAATTTTGGGGGATTTTATTGTAAGAAACAGCTATGGGGCTCAGGAGCAACAGCCAGGAGGCTGCCCCGTTGCACCCACCCCCTGAATCTGCCACCTGAAGCAATTGCCTCACTATCCCTAATGCTTCATTACAAGGTTGTTCCTTATCTTCCTTACTTAAAACTGCCATGTCCTCTTCTGTAATAGAGCACTGATGGAGATCCAGGACTTCGAGGTTACTTAGACTGGCCAAATGAGCCTCTACATTTTGGAAACCTCCTCCGATGCCTTTATTGCAAGACACATCCAGTTTCCTCAGTTCCAATAAGTGCTGCAAGGCATTGTCTGAAATTGAAGAGACATAGAGTGGAACATGGTGAAGCATCAAATTGCCATCAAGGTATTTACAGTATGTAGTGTCATTTATTTTTAAATTTAATGAACTGCACTTCACTCCAGAGCAGCACACATTGATAACATTTATCTCAAAACATAGTGCACAGGTTATAAAACCTAGCAATCCAAAATGTGATGTGGATATTAAGGGAATCCTGGGAGTGTAACCCCATTCAGGGCAGGGAACCTAGCAATCTAAAATGTGGTGTGGATATTAAGGGAATCCGAAAAGTGTGCAACTTGGAATTATTTTGTCCTCAAAATGGATATATACTGTATTAGTTACTGTACTTAAAAATAATTTTAAAGCCTGCAGTACCACCTTCAGTAATTAGGCGGCAGACTTCTCTAACCTTCCTTAAGCAGTAGAGAGGTGGTTTTAGTAAGATCTCGGTTTTCTATTCCAGCAAGCCTCTAGGCATGTCCACATGCTCTTTTCCTTTGCAGAACATGGCCAGAACTCTTAAACCAGTTGAGAGAGAGAGACTGAGAGAGAAAAGGTCCTTCCTGGATGAAGAGTCCCTCAGGACATTGGTGCATGCATCGGTCATTTCCTGCATCGACAACTGCAATGCTCTCTATGTGGGGTTTCCCTTGGGTCTGACCCAGAGATTGCAATGGGTCCAGAATGCAGCAACCAGACTGGTGCACATAGGTTTGACCACATCTCCCCAGTCTTCGCTCGCCTGCACTGGCTACCTGTTGCCTCCTTCCTGAATCAGATTCAAGCCTTTCATGATCACCTACAAAACCCTTCACAGTTTAGGACCATGTTACCCATTGGAGCGCCTTCTCCTAAGGTGATCCACCTGACCCACTAGGTCCTCCCAGGCCATGATCCTCTGGGTAGCCACTCCAAGGGAAGCGAAGAAATCCTCTGCTAGAAATAGGGCCTTCTTTCCAGTGGCTCCAACGTTGCAGAACCAACTGCTGGTGGAACTGCACCTGACCCCCTCCCTCCCCTCTTTTAAAAGATTGTTGGAAACATTGCTTTATAGAGAGGTCCTTTTGGCAACCCTGCATGTCCTGTTTCAGCTGCTCTCTATGGTTACATGCCCGTGCCATTTTTCATTTTAGATTTCAGCCACTTGATATTTTGACTGTTATTTTGATGTTTTTATTCACATTCATTGTTTTAGTTGATTGTAAACCACCTGGGGTAGTGTTTTTGCACTAATGGGGTGGTATACAAATAAATAAAGAAATAATGAAGCGAGAAAAAGAGTAAGCAGAGAGGAAAGCTGAACCAACCTTAAAATGGAGGGGGAGGAGGAGCAACGAGAAAGAATGGATGTTAGGCGGGAAAGAAGAGAAAGAGAAAGAGGAAAACTGTGGAGTGAAGAAAAGGGTTTTCTACCCTTGTGAAGCTTAGTATTTGTTACAGCACTATTATAAAAAGATAAATATAATAACATTTCTTGAAAGTGCTAGCACTAATCATCTAACACCATAGTCAACGAGCATTCTGTTGAGAAGGTATTTGTGTCCCTCTCACCCTACTGATTTTTTAAAAATTCACATAAGTTGGCTAAAATCAAATTATTCTGAAATGTGGTCATATTTCAGAATTAATATTTGATCTCTTGAGTTTCAGGATAAAGAAACAATAATCATGGCCAGCAAATGGGTGTAAAAGTTAATCAAGCAAATTAAAAGGAGAGAAAACAAGGTAAAATGTTTCAGTGTAATACATCAGCTTTAGTTACAAGGATGGAACAAAGCCCTACATTTTATCAAAAGGGATAAGGCACTTAGCGTTTTAACCACTGCACCATGAGGCTCATATAGGGATAAGGCACTTAATGTGGTTTGGAGCACCTGTCATTTAACTTCAGCTGCTAAATAGCATTTGTTTTACCTCTTCTTTTATGCTGATATCTTGTTTAGCAAAGTCCAAATCAAATTCAGTGCTTTATACTTCCTGATATGAGCATAATGTTTCACTGCATCTGTATGACTGGAGCAATATCACCCAGAATTAGAGAATATGACATTGAAATGTGTCATCCTTGTCTCACCAATTTTATTATTTAATATTATGTTTAAATATGGTTGCTGGTCATGGATCTTGTTTCTTTGCCCAGAGGTTTGGAGATAAGTACACTGCACTGCCAATGTATCATCCTTAATTTCAAGCAAGTTCAAATGTTACTTTAAATTATTATTTTTTCTATCTAAGATCTGTATTGTTTGGATTAGTATGTGGTGTGGAATTCTCAAGTTCATATTTCTAGCATAAATTGGAATTTACATTTTTTGAATTCACAATTATTTGAAGATTCTGTGTTATGGGCAGTGATAAATTTAGACGGGGGACACCACAGAGTAAAAAAATACTGGATTTGGTAAGCTAATATTGAAGCTCACACATATTAGCACTTCAGTTTTCAAACTGTTCATTTCTAATTAAATAATTTTAAAGTATTCTGTCATTAGCATATATTTCGGCCCAGTCAAACTGCTTTCTCTCAGACATTCAAATGCTACAGAGGACTCTTGTATGCAAGAGAATGAAAGAGAAAGCACTTTCAATATCCAGAAGCTCAGTTGTGATGATAAATTTAATTTTCAAAAAAAAATATTGCAGCTCCCCAGTCAATACCTGTACTTACCTAACCACTGTAAACCATCTTGTTTCAATCCACACATACTCAAATTTAGTACTTTCAGGCCTGAGACATACTTTAGTTCCTGGGCAATATTTTTCAGACTACATCCTATCTTTTTATTAATGGAAAGATCCAGTATTTCAAGGTTGTGAACCCTGTTTACCACCTGAGCTGAAAAGAAGGGAGAGAATGGTCAAGTCATAATGGATTTTAAAGTAGTTACATGTTGTAGATAGGGACGTGGTGGCGCTGTGGGCTAAACTGCAGAAGCCTGTGCTGCAGGGTCAGAAGACCAGCAGTCGTCAAGGTTGTGAACCCTGTTTACCACCTGAGCTGAAAAGAAGGGAGAGAGTGGTCAAGTCATAATGGATTTTGAAGTAGTTACATGTAGATAGGAGCAATAAAAGAGCCACACATTTTATTTTTTCAAAAATTAATTCATCGTAAAAATTAGATTCATCCACTCTCTTGAAGTTCAAGTCATAAAAAGAATACAGTCCAGGATCTGGCTAAAAAGCAAGCATTACGTGTCTTATGAAATATAAAAGGGATTTTAAAAAGATGTATTTTAATTATACAATTTGTAAACATCCTTCTTAAGATGACAGGGGCTGAACTCAATGATCCATAGAGCCCCTTCCAGGAATGCTGTTCTAAGATAAGGGTGATGATAACCGGACTACAGCTTCCAGAATTTCCAGCGTCACACTGGCCATGTGACCACGGAAGATGTGTTCGGCCAAACGCTGGCTCTATGGCTTGGAAACGGGGATGAGCACCGCCCCCTAGAGTCAAACACGACTGGACAAAAATTGTCAAGGGGAACCTTTACCTTTACATGTTGTAGATAGGAGCAATAAAAGAGCCACACATTTTATTTTTTCAAAAATTAATTCATCGTAAAAATTAGATTCATCCACTCTCTTGAAGTTCAAGTCATAAAAAGAATACAGTCCAGGATCTGGCTAAAAAGCAAGCATTACGTGTCTTATGAAATATAAAAGGGATTTTAAAAAGATGTATTTTAATTATACAATTTGTAAACATCCTTCTTAAGATGACAGGGGCTGAACTCAATGATCCATAGAGTCCCTTCCAGCAATGCCGTTCTAAGATAAGGGTGATGATAACTGGACTACAGCTTCCAGAATTTCCAGTATGGGCCGTTGTAGGATACTGTGAGTTGTAGTCCCACAAAGTAACTTGTTACAAACTCTGAAGTCATCACGGGTGAAAAAATTCTCCCCTCATCTCCCTCAGGGCTCTGTTTTCCCTCCTATGTCACTTAACGTCCACAGGAGGCCATTGGGAGAGATTGCCCGGAGTTTTGGGGTTCAGTCTCACCAGCAAAGGACTCCCAACCCTACTTCTCCTTGTCATCTAAATCCGAGGAAACTACTACAGCTCTAGATCGATGTTTGGTACCAGTAATGGACTCAAAGAGGGTGAATAAATTGAAATTTAATCCAGGCAAGACAGAGGTGGCCCTGGTTAGTCGAAAGGCAGATCAAGGAATAGGGATGCAGCCGGTGCTTGCAGTTGGGGGTGCTCCTGGATTCATCCCTGAACCTGGATGCCCATATGACCTTCAAGGTTTACGTAGCCAAGTTGAAATTTAATCCAGACAAGACAGAGGTGGCCCTGGTTAGTTGAAAGGCAGATCAAGGAATAGGGATGCAGCCGGTGCTTGCAGTTGGGGGTGCTCCTGGATTCATCCCTGAACCTGGATGCCCATATGACCTTCAAGGTTTACGTAGCCAAGTTTCTGGAAAGCTCATCAATGAAGCCTACATTGTTATAATGTTCCCAGTCACCATTCTTACGTGTTACCTGGCACCAAGTCAGAACTGACTTATAGGGATCCCAATAGGAGTTTTACGAATTCCACACCTCCAGAGAGTTTTCATGGCTAAGCAGGACTCAAACCTTGGTATCCTGAGTCCTAGCCCGATGCTCTATCCACTATGCCATACAGTGGTGCCTCGCTAGACTGTTACCCCGCATGACAGTTTTTTCACTAGACGTTGACTTTTTGTGATCACTATAGCGATTCGCAAAACAGTGATTCCTATGGGGGAATTTCGCTGGACAATGTTGGTCCCTGCTTCGCAAACCGATTTTCGCTAGACAACAATTTTGACAGCTCCTTTCGCGCTCGCAAAACAGGTGTTTTCGGGACCTAAGCTTCGCAAGACAGTGATTTAAACAGCTGATTGGCGGTTCGCAAAGCGACTTTCCTATGGCCGATCTTCGCTAGACAATGACAATTCTTCCCCATTGGAACGCATTAAACAGGTTTCAATGCATTCCAATGGAGAAATGCTTTTCGC